GAAAAATCCGAAAATTCTTTTTTTAATTATTATTTTCGTCACTTTAATTACCTAAAAAAATAAAAAAAAATTACCCTTTTTTTTTTTGGAAAATACGTGAAATACTCTAATAGAATATTACACTGTAATATATTCTAATGTGATTTTTAGAATGTTAGAATATTCTACTAGATTTGTCAGACATGTAGAATATTCTAATATTCTACTAGAATATGTAAAAAATGTATTTATTTTTAAAATTTTTCTTATTTTTTTTGGTATTTTTTTTTGGAAAATATAAATTCCGAAAATAATACTTGAAAAAAAAATTTCAAAAAGTTTCAGTTATTTTGCATTTTAAAAATGTTTTTTTTATCTACCAAATGAGTGACTAGAATTGTGTCTCACGGTCTCACAAAATTAAGCCGTCTCATATATATATATATATATATATATATATATATATATATATATATATATATATATATATATGAGTTTTTTAGACAAAACCTTTTACAAGGTGCAAGTAAATTTACAAACTCTTGTCATTTTATATCCTACATGAAAATCGCAACAATAAAATTATCGTAAGGACGGTCGCAAAAATAAAATAAAATTGTTAATATAATTTCAATAATTTACTTTTATTACAAATTGGTCCACATGGATTCGGGTTGGATAAATTCTGTTAATGATCCGGGACATGTCACTAATAAGATCACAGAGCCACAGAGGTAGGACTAGAAATTTCCCAATGGATAGGATAAAACCCACGCACACCCATCCACTTGGATTGCGCATAATAATCTCAAATTCAAACAGACCAAGACCTCGAAGAAGAAATCATCAACAATGGGGTTGATTTCCTTCCTCTCAACAGTCCCAACTTTGCTTCCAATAGCTCCATTACCCTCCTACAGTTCCTCCAGATGCCCAATTCATTCTGTAAGTAGAGTACTTGAATAATCATCACTTCATTATTGTGTGTTGATATGATGGTTTCCTGACTTAATTCCATGAACAGGGTACCATTAGTTGTAAAATTGACGATGCTGGCAGCCATGAATTTAACGTTGTTCGAAGGAGGGACATTCTTAACTGCTTTGGGGCTGCCATTAGCATGGTGATTATGCTTCTCTTTTACTCCCTTGATTTCACTAATTCTAATAATTTTAGCAACTGATTACACAAAATCAATGTACCTTAATGTCATAAAACTCATTCCAACCTTCTTAATGTCATAACTCAAAGCTACAATAATACAATGGGAAAAATACGATGTTAATTAAGATGTGAAGAAACTTAAAACTTATAGTTCTTTGATGAATTTGAGTGATGTGATCATTGAGTTTCCGCCAGTTGTTCTCTCTTCATAGGAATTGGTGGCAAGCTCCAGCCCAATCTCGAGCCCATTCATTGAGGCAGCTAATGCTGCCGATTTGATACAACGAAGACAACGTTCAGACTTTCAATGTAAGCTCTTCAATTGCTTTTATTTTAACTCATGCTTTATAATATGATTGTTAAAAAAATGTGAAATCTTGAAAACTCAGTTTTGAAAAGTTCAAACTGCAAGAAATAACACAGTATATACCTACTATAACAAAGGTAACCAGTTAATTAATCCATTTTTTTTACTTTGCTGACGTGGTTGCCAAGTCACAATTACATATCAACTACATCTGTTTATGTGAATTACAGTTTACAAACACCAGTAATTATATTTACAGATACTTGAACTTGAACTTTTTCTTTTTTTATTTGGCAGCAAGTATAAAGATGACCCTCTATAAAGCCATTAAGGTAAACCATGAGATGTATATTTCTGTTATAAGATATTTAGATAAAGAAATGTAAGCACATTGCGTATTGATATTTCCTGCAATTTACCCTTTAGAATTTCCCTTTTTGAGAAATTTGAATTGTTGTTTGAATTTCAGGCAAATCCAGAGCTGATTTCACCCCTATTAACATTAGCACTTAATGATTCTATGACATATGATAAGGTCTGAATCATAACATATAATTGTTACACTTTAGCTTACTTAATGAGAGTTGTTTTATTAGTTAAAATTAATTTCTTTATCGTTAAGCTTTTAGCCAACAAAAACTGGAGGCCCCAATGGATCCATACGCTTCAGGTACTTCCCATCTTCCACATGTTACAAAGCTCTTAAAATGTTTGAATTTATACTTTTTTTTTTGTGTGTGTGTGTGTGTGTGAAGCTCTGAGATTGAGAGACCAGAAAACAAAGGACTTTCTGCTGCTTTATCGATGGTGGAAGAAGCAAAAAAAGAGATCGATTCTTACTCTAAAGGTGGACCAATTTCATACTCCGATCTCATCCAATTAGCAGGTTTGATGTTTGTCCGATGTTTAGGAATAATGAACGAGGGAAATCTGTAAAATATCAAGTCTTGATTAAGTAATAACAACACTTAATTTGGGATTTGAATTTAATGTAGCTCAAAGTGCTGTTAAATCTACATTTTTGGCATCGGCCATTAGAAAATGTGGTGGTAATGAAGAAAAGGGGAACTTGTTATACTCTGCTTACGGATCAAATGGACAGGTTTTTCTTTTTCCCTACATTTATTTATAAATAAATCTAATCTATTCTTTATTAGTATTATTTTATTCAAAAAATATATATATTTTAAATTTTATAGTGGGGATTATTCGATAGAAATTTTGGAAGGTCAGATGCTCAAGAACCCGACCCTGAGGGAAGAGTACCCAATTGGGCAACCGCAAGTGTTCAAGAAATGAAAGACAAATTCATAGCCATTGGTTTAGGTCCTCGACAGGTGGGTGAAATTTTTTTATATTCTTTTTAAAGGATGATTTTTTTTTTTTCTAAAAAATAATAATTGTAAAAAAAAAAAGTGTTAATTACAAAAACTATATTACAGCTAGCAGTGATGTCAGCATTCTTGGGTCCTGACCAATTAGCAACGGAAGCTAAATTAGCAACGGATCCAGACGTTGTTAAATGGGTTGAGAAATATCAGCGAAGCAGAGAGACAGTCTCAGAGACCGACTATGAGGTTAATTAGCACAAAATATTAAAATTAAAATGACTAAGGTTGAAAAACGAAAAATCATTTATTATAAAAATGGGTAAATTATCAAATACGGTGGAAATGGAATCATTAATTTATTTATTTATTTATTTTTTTACAGGTGGATTTGATTACGGCTCTTACGAAAATGAGTGGTTTGGGTCAAAACATCAATTATGAGGCGTATTCGTATGCTGTTCCGAAGATTGATTTCAAAAAACTTAAGTTGTGAAAAGTTTGATATGAATTATGGTATCATGAAATGAGCAATAAAATCGGTTTTTGTTATCGGCATAACATACATTGTTGTTTTGTGCATGTAACACTATTCTTTATACTTTTGTACTTTCATATTCGTACATAGAATTTTATGAGTTGTAAACTTATATTGCCACAATGATGTAAAATACATTATGTATTTTACATTTGATTTATCAAGTAACATGAATGATCAGTTTTTTAAGATGATGTGTTTATTCAGTTTTCATTAATTTAATTATCATCATACAACGACTGAGATGACAAATGGGCAACAAGCTACGCCGTTAAACCTTTTTGTATGGTCAAACTAATTCTTTTAAAAACTACGTCTATTGATCTAGGGATATAACATTGCTATGCATGATCCGTTGTGCTCTATTAAGAAGCTCTACCGCATCCGGCGCGAGGAAACCAAACGTATCAAATGCAAATGGTATGAACACGTGTTGATTTTCCATGCACGATTTTTCATGTTTGGTGACTTTGCCTGTAGCAGCTTTTAAAGCACCATGTCCCGCCGTGAAACCCCCGACCCTCAAGCCCACGAGAGGAGATACCCTTGTAAGGTCCACACATGCGTGTTTCCCTCCCACCAATCCAAAAATCAAAATGTCAGTCGGTCTAAGGGTTAACCTTCCTTTTGCCAAGTCAGTTGGGCTTGGCCAACATATGTCTCCTGTGGAGTACCGTACTATCCTCAAATATCGACTCATGATTCCAATATTCTGAGATGATGAGATATGTTCGGTGTGTCGCAAGGCATGTTTGGACTCTTTTGGAGAGCATGCAATTCACATGTGCCTCTTTCTTGGCGGAAACCCCGATACGCTTAAATATGTCAAACAAAACATCCCTAACCATTTTGTGCCTGTATTTGAACCCCGGGAGTTCTTTACAGTGAACTGCATGCTCTCCAAAAGAGTCCAAACATGCCTTGCGACACACCGAACATATCTCATCATCTCAGAATATTGGAATCATGAGTCGATATTTGAGGATAGTACGGTACTCCACATGAGACATATGTTGGCCAAGCCCATCTATAGGGATAGCTAGAAGAAAATCTTGAGCATGTGGTGCACGTAAGCACTGGAAAACCGCTTCCTGCCGATCCGTCATGTCGAGATGCACTTCCATATCTTGGACAATTTTACGAAAAAGGGCACTCGCCAGTGTGGTCTTGTTACGAAGAGAAGCCAATGCACAATCATAATCAGAATCCATACTATATATGTCGCTATCTCGTAAGATGTGGTCTTGCAATACCCAAGATTGGGCCCTTGAGGCAACAAAAACATATGAGGTAGCCTCTACTGACGAGTATAAATCCAAACCACCAAACCTAATGGGTAAGGAAGCGATTCGCCACTGTATGTCGCCAAAGAAAGGGCCACCACAAACCATAATTTCCTCAATCGCCACTGTATGTCGCCAAAGAAAGGGCCACCACGAAAAAGGGCACTCGCCAGTGTGGTCTTGTTACCGCCTCCTCCATGTGAACGGGTTTGCACGTCCTCGGCCCAAAGAAAAGCTTAGCAATCCCAATACAAGGCCGAAACAGAAGGAGCTCACTCTGGGGGTCAGACAATTGTGGAAGAAGGCACATCAAATTCACAACGTTTTTGGCTCTGTTTATGGCCACATGTTGCTTCCATTCATCCTATGTATGGGCTGTTTGTAAGTATTATGGAATAATGCTCCCAAGTACATTGGGTCAACATATGGGTCATCAAGAGTATTGTTTAAGTTTGCTAATGTAGCTACGTAATGAACGCACCCATTGATGGGTTTTACATACAATAACGCAGATAAATCCTTATATACTTAAGGGTACATGCAACCTATTAGATCTAGTCACAACTCTATTGAAGTAGCATTCTATTGAACAACAAGAACCCTATAAACCTAGGTGATTTCAAAATCCATAGAAGAAAACATACCTCTTGACTGTTATAGTAAGCAATCAAACAATCCCTCTTGTAGTTGCTTGGAAACTAGCATGAGATTTCTCGTGCCTTTCACACCCAACCCTAACAACAAGAAGGCTTAAGAGAGAGGAAAGTGGTTGAATTTTCGGCTATCTTTTGTAAAGGAGGAGTGGCCGAAAATCCAAGGCCAAGGGTCCTTTATATAGTGTAACTTGGAACCCTAGATAACTCTAATTTGAATAAAATAATATTAATTCAAATTGATAATTATCTAGCTTGCTATTTATCTGTAAAGAATATTACAGATGTCCTGGAATACCCTAAAAACCGTCCACCCCTTCCAAAGAAGGTTCTGGACTTCTCTTGTTCAACTATTGAACAATTACACTTTAACCCTTGCACTTTTAATTAATCCCAAAATTACATCTAGTTAATTTCTGATTAATTCTTAATTAAATAATACTATTTCTAATTAATATATTATTGTCATAACATATTAATAAATTTATCTATTGCTATTTCTTAATCATATAATAAATCAATAAATCATTCTCTTTCTCTCCAAAGCTCATCCTATTCAATTACTAGGTTTGAGAGCAACCCGAAAGGACTTTGCTAATAATTCAAGTATATACTAATTCATTTATTGGCTTAGACACCTAATCCAACAGTCACCCACTTGGATAATTCTATAACTGCAATTACCAGTATAACTTCTAAATTAGACAGCAAAGAGTGCTCCTGTAACGACCCAAAAATCAAGGGTAAAAATTTCATTTTTATTACAGTCAAAACACAGATATCGTTTAATCCAAACATTCCAAAAACATTGCTAATCAAAAACATTTATCAGAGTTCATCCCAAATCACATATTGCGGAAAACACGGGTGTGTGCGCTGCGATCAAACCAGGTACTTCCTTTCAAAACCGATGATACCTGAAACCATAAACAAAACTGTAAGCACGAAGCTTAGTGAGTTCCCCAGAGCATACCCCACATAATCTACATAACCGCATAAACCATATCAATCACATAAGCTATGCATATAAACATATAGGGATGCCATGGGCTCCCCTAGGGTCTTACTCCAGGATGTCGTGGGCTCCCCCCAGGGTCTTTACCTGGAATGCCATGGGCTCCCCCACATGTTCTGATATCCAAGTGCCATGGGCTCCCCCATGGTCTTTATGTGACATCCAGAAAAATCCGGCCAAATTTAAACTTTTTAAAACATTTAGAAACCAACAGTTATTACCAATTTGTTTTCAAAACAGTTCTA